TGTGATACCCGTGGTCTCTGACAGGAGTTTTAGTTCTTGTTGAGCTAACTTGCACAAAGAAAGCCCAGCCATGCCAAACTTGCTTCGTAGTACAGACCTCTGGTAACCTGTGGTGACTGGAAAACCATGTTATGTGCAAAACTTGTTTACGGTACATCTTTGCGCACATTAAGTGATGCATACAAATAGGCCAAATGGAGCATGAAGCACACAGAGATGACATTTTCAAATGCTGTGTAGCTGCAGTAAGCCCTAAAAGTTGCAAAATATGTCTGGTTGCATTTGTGACCTAAACTCAAGACTACACAAAAGTGACTGGTAAATTAGCTGTCACTAGCCATCCATCCATCCATTGTCTTCCGCTTATCCAGGGTCGGGTCGCGGGGGCAGCAGGCGGAGCAGGTCGTCCCAGACCTCCCTCCCCCCGGCGACACTTTCCAGCTCTGCCTGGGGGATCCCGAGGCGTTTCCAGGCCAGCCGAGACACATAATCCTTCCAGCGGGTTCTGGGTCTGCACCGGGGTCTCCTCCCAGGTGGACGTGTTCAGAAAACTTCCAGAGGAAGCCTCCCCGGAGGCATCCGAACCAGATGTCCATATCACCTCAACTGGCTCCTTTCGACACAAAGGAGCAGCGGCTCTACTCCGAACTCCCTCCGGATGTCCGAGCCACCCTGCAGAGGAAGCTCATTTCGGCAGCTTGTATCCGCGATCTCGTTCTTTCGGTCACGACCCAAAGCTCGTGACCATAGATGAGGATTGGGACTTAGATGGACTGGTAAATCGAGAGCTTTGCCTTGCAGCTCAGCTCTCTCTTCACCACAACGGTCCGGTACAGCGCCCGCATTACTGCTGAGGCCGCACTGAGCCGCCTGTCCAACTCACGCTCCATTTTCCCATCACTCGTGAACAAGATCCCGAGATACTTAAACTCCCTCGCTTGACGAAGCAACTCCCCCCCCCCACCTGGAGGTGGCAATCCACCGGTTTCCGGCAGAGAGCCATGGCCTCAGACTTGGAGGTACTGATCCGCATCCCTGCCGCTTCGCACTCGGCTACAAACCGCTCCAGTGAGTGCTGAAGGTCATGGTCTGATGGAGCCAACAATACCACGTCGTCTGCAAAAAGCAGAAACGAGATCCTGAGGTCCCCAAACCGGACACCCTCCTCTCCCTAACTGCACCTTGAGATCCTGTCCATGAAAACCACAAACAGGATTGGTGACAAGGGGCAGCCCTGGCGGAGTCCAACACCCACTGGGAACGTGTCTGACTTATTGCCGAGAATGCGGACACAGCTCGCACTTTGGTTGTACGAGTTTTAGCTTCCACAACCGCCGCAGCTGCAGCCCTTTTGGCCAGCTGGTACCTGCCTGCTGCTTCAAGAGACCCCCGAGCCAACCAGGCCCGAAAGGTCTCCTTCTTCAGCCTGATGGCTTCCCTCACCGCCGGTGTCCACCAGCGGGTTTTGGAGTTGCCACCGCGACAGGCACCAGTGACCTTCTGGCCACAGCTCCTAACGACTGCTTCTGCAATGGAGGCTTTGAACATGGACCAGTCTGACTCCATGTCCCCAACTTCCCCCGGGATGCAGGAAAAACTCTTCCGGAGGTGGGAATTGAAAACACCACGGACAGGGGCCTCTGCCAGACGTTCCCAGTTCACCCGCACTACGCGTTTGGGTTTACCAGGTCTGTTTGGCAGCCTTCCCCGCCATCGGATCCATCTCACCACCAGGTTGTGATCAGTTGACAGTTCTGCTCCTCTCTTTACCCGAGTGTCCAAAACATACGGCCACAGATCTGATAATACGACTACAAAGTCAATCATCGACCTTTGGCCTAAGGTACTCTGGTACCAAGTACACTTATGAGCAACCTTATGTTCGAACATGGTGTTTGTTATGGCCAATCCGTGGCTAGCACAGAAGTCCAAAAACAAAACCCGCTCGGGTTCAGATCAGGCAGGCCGTTCCTCCCAGTCGCAGTCGCAGAGAGGCGACCCTCTCATTCTGCGGGGAGAACTCCAACAAGGCGGCGCTCAGCCAGGGCTTGTGAGTATCCCCACACCCGCCCGGCGCCTCTCACTGTGGGCATCTCCGGAAAAGGAGAGAGTCCAACCCCTCTCCAGTAGTATGGTTCCAGAGCCCTTTCTGTGCCAGCTCAGGCTCCTTCCCCACCAGTGAGGTGACATTCCATGTCCCCAGAGCTAGTCTACGCCACCAGGGGGTGGTACGCCAGGATGCCCGCTCCTGCCTACCACCCGGAGGGCATAGCACCCGACCCCGATCCTCTTCCCTGAGGGTGGTGGGTCCTCTGGGAAGTGGCCCCGTGTTGCTTCTTCGGGCTGTGCCCGACCGAGCCCCACGGGGCCCCAAGGCTCGGCCACCAGACGCTCCCCGGCGAGCTCCCCTCCAGGCCTGGCTCCAGGGGGGTGCCCTGGTTTCCCTCTTCCGGGCAAGGTGGCGGCACTCCTTTTCTTGTTCTTCATCAGGGTCTTCTGAATCGCTCTTTGTCTGGTCCCTCCCCCAGAACCAACTTGCCTTGGGAGACCCTACCAGGGGCTAATGCCCCGGACAACATAGCAGGGACACTCAAACCCCTCCACCGTGATAAGCTGGCGATTCATCAGGGGGATGAATCGCCATTCAATGGAATTACTAGCTGTCACCAATAAATCCTAATTTGACTTTAAGACAATTCAAGAGTGAAAAAACATAAACAAGGTAAATGAACTTACAGGACCTGCTTTAAGTCTCTGTAAAAGGTGGAATATGCACAATTTTGAACATAAATTTAGAGGCAACGTAGAAGCAAAACATTACCTGCTATGTAAAAATATATTGGTGTAGCAACATCCTTAGGAAAGAATGAAGCCACCCTCACTCTATGTGTGGTGTAATCTGAGCTTTCCTGTTCTGTGTGTTGGCAGCTTGTTTGGCCATGCATCCATGTTGGTGCATTTGAGTCCCTACTTTTGAAACTGTTGTACATTCTTGCATTAACAGACTGACAAAGAGTGACCTTCGACGTTGTATTGTAAAGTAACAGTGTCGTCTGGAGTATCTAGTTGATGCCTCAAACAAACCTAACAATTTGCTAAAATTAAGTATTTTAACTATATTGCTTTCCTAATTTAGGTGCACTAGTTTAATTTCAGCTCATATGCACAGCCTATTTGGTTAAGAGATGCTGATGCTTTATCAATATTCAGTGGTTCTACATGTTGCATCCTTAACATAAACTATATTTTCAGTGTCACCTAAGCATTTGTTGATTAACTTGAACAGACTGTTTAAGTGTAATCTGTATCAATACCCGAAAGCATAAACGTCAGCAGCATTGGAGAAAGGAAGCTTGTCCTCATCAATCTCTGGGCTTAGCTTTTGAACAATCTCTGGAGCAAGGTAGCAGATCCAGCCCTGTGGTATCCGCAACACGTTCTTTCTTCTAAACATACACAAACACACACATACACACACACGTATATTAGTAATGGCAATAATGAGTAAACTGTGGCTTACCAGAGATACAGATTCATATTATTATTTGTTTCATTCTTACCGGCCTTCTTGTACCACTCCAGACATCCCAAACAAGCCAAAGTCGGTAATAACGACCCTGTTTGAGTCATAGAACACATTCTTAGACTTCAGATCCTTGTGAATGATGCCTTTGGCATGCAGATAACCCATTCCCTGTAACAGAGAAGGGCAATTAGACTCAGACACATTCCAGTTCTATATATATTGGCAGTAATGATTGATTTAATGTTTGTTTTGCTTATTCTTTTAATAAACATAATGATGAAATAAGAGATACCAGGTTACTGTATACTATTGTGATACATAACATTCTTGTCTAAAAGACAAATAGTTGTTTAACATTGTATGTTACAACATTTCATCAACAAATAACACACAAATGTAAGGATAGGATCATTTTGCTTACTAAAGAATCATGATCAAGAAGTGGACTCAGTCAAAAAACTTATAAAAAGCACTGCACTGATCTCTGCTGGATAAACTATGCGCCAGAGACATGTGAATCCACAAAAATGCTGTCAGTGGTAACTGAAAGAAGGAAGGAGGGGAGTGACTGAGAGATGAATGCTGGTGTACAAATACATATTCTTCTGGATTGTAACATGTGTCCAGCTTGGAACGGCATTCATATTGAACATACTGAATCTACTACTTTCCCTCCTTCCTTCGTTGTCTGTCAGTGACTTCCAGCATATCTGTGGTTTCTCTACTGCAATTTCTCATTACTCCTCAGCTTCATATAAGCATGAACTAATATATCTCTCATGAACCACAAACGTGATAAAATCAGGCTAAAAAAGAATCAGAATTGTTTCGCGACATTTTATTTCACAGTATATCATAAATAATCATGTATACATCTATCCATCCATTATCTATACACCGAACAGTGTTCATCCTGGACAGGTAGCCAGTCTATCACAGGACTACACTTAGAGACAGACAACCAAGCACACTCACATTCACACCAACGAACAATTTAGAATTACCAATTAACCTCAACATGTCTTTGGACTGTGGGAGGAAGCACCCAGTGAAATCATGTATGCAACAATAATAAAATTGATATTGATTTTTAAATCATTGATTATATTGATTCTTTTCATAATTCTGTCCTCACACAGTTTTGTGGAAGTTCAAAGGTTGCTTACCTTTACAATCTCCTGAGCAATCTGTCTGGTTTTATTGATGTCTAGCATGTGACCTCTTTCTCTCACAACAGTGTACAGAGTCAAACCTTTACAGAAACTGCAGAGGAAACATCATCGTTATTGTGACTGAATTTAAAAATCGACATCAAAACATAAATAAATTTTCACCAGAGCAAGAACTTACATACGTCACATGATTTAATACGTAAAATTAGTGTAACAAAGCACTGGGACTGTCTTAGAAATTAAGGAAAGCCACCACAGCTAAGAGTGCAGAGTTATAAAGGTCATGCAGCTGTACCTGGTGATGATAGCAAGGTGAGGAGGAGCCAAGCAGGCACCCATGAACAGGACCACATTCTCATGCCTGGTCTGCCTGTAGTTCATCACCTCCTTCTTGAAGATTTTCAGATGATCCTGGTTGTTGCCGTCGATCTCCAGAAGACGAATGGCCACCTCACCATGCCAGCGACCTTTATGCACCTTGCCCCATCGACCCTGAACATAAAGTCAGATGTATCACTTTTGTTGGAGCGAAATGTTGAAATTTCACATTCTTGCTACTATAATATATAATATTTAGTGGGTCCGTTATATCTTCGTCTTCACCTTGCCAATAAGGTCTCCAAGCTGCAGCTGCTCATAAGGTATGTCCCACTCCTGAAGGTAGACACTGGTCTGGCTGACCTTACGAGAAATGGGGCCTCCTGAGCGACCAACAGCCGCACGGCGACATATGGAAGAAGGAAGGTCGTCCAGACCATCCTCGTCACCCTCCTCAGTAGAAAAGCTCCTTTTTCTGTTTCCTGTGTCAGCCACTTCTTCATCCTCAGCTGGGTAGTCTCCCTCCTTAGACAAAAGGCAATATAAGGAAAGTGATCAAAGACAGTAAATGCTTAGTTAACGATTAATTAAAGTCACATTGTAACACATGAGTGGCGAAAAAAGTCTAGTCACTTCCTGTCTTAACATGATCACCAGAGGTCTGTACTACAAAGCAGGTACTATAGATGAGTCTAGATTATTGAGACAAAGCAGGAAAATAAAGATTTTCTTACTTCTTTTCAGAGATGAAACCCATTTCATGTGACTGTCAGTACTCACCTCTCCCTGTTGCACTGCTGTTAGCTGTGTCTCACTGAGCTCTTCCTGTGACAATCTGAGAAAAAGAAAACAGTAATTAGCAACAGGTTAAGATTATAAACGTACTAGTCTGAATGATATTGATATTTGTGAACCTTGTGTCTTAGAGAGATGCTAAAAAAAACAGTTTGCCATCCATTTGTAACTTTGAAAATTGGTCAGTTGATCCAAAATGCTGCAGCCACAGTTCTAACAGTAACCAGCAAGAGAGATCATATTTCTCCCACACTGGCTTCTCTGTATTGGATTCCTAGAAAATCCAGAAGAGTCACAAAAGAGCTGCTCAAATGGAATCTTTGGTTACATAAAATAATACATTGTTGTAGGGTCTTGGCCTTTTTATGTGAAGTGCCTTGAGAGGATTTATTTTGTGAAGTGGCGCTTTATACTTCAAACTGAGCTGAACTGATTAACTGCTGAGCAGATACTCTAATAGTTTAATAATGTAGACTGTGCTTTTCTTTTCTAATCCATTTATGAGATTTAAAAATAGGTAATCATTTTTAAATGTTTTACAAAATTTTAACACATGCTCTCATCACAATATACTGTATTATGTATTTGGTGCTCTTTAATGAGCAGGACATTTCATAGTACAAAAAAAACTTGCCAGTGCTCTCTGGTGAACTGACTATATAATGGTAACACTATTTCAAAACAGACTTAAACACAACATGAGGTATTTCTTTGCTATCGTTGCTTATGAACGACATGTCACATTGCAGTATTACTTACCAGCCAGCTGATACAAAACCTATATCTGTGATAAACCAGCACTAACAATATAGTTCCTCTTAACAACCGTATGAAATCAAGTGTGTTATTGAATCTTTGCTAATGTTGTTGTCTCTTACCCAGGCTCATAGTAGCCTCCAGAATGCTGTACTGTGTGTGTGGAAGCAGGAACATCTGTTGGGAATAAAAAACATCAGAGTACTGCCAACCAGGCCAGCTGACAGTCTTCCCTGGGCCCGGGACAAGATGATACTAGATGAAAGTGCAAAATCCGAACTTCCAATAAAAGGACAACAAATGTTGATCAGGGGCCAAACCATTTTATGTTGGAGGTGGGGGTAGAGGGCAATTCCAAAAATATTAAGGACAGTTCAGATGAAAACAAAATAAAACTTCTAACTCAAATATTGCACTGTTTCTTTCCATTAATAGCCCTTCTTTGGGGAAAAAAATCCATAATTCAATGAGGGTCCAGTTCTGGGCCCCCCTCCCCACTCTGGGCCCGGGACAACAGACCCGTTTGTCCCCCCCTATCGGCGGGCGTGCTGCCAACTACAAAACTAATTCTCATCATTTAGAAATGCTGCATATATTTTTGCTCCTTATGGTTTCAGAACAATGGCTTTGCTGTACATGTGTTAACAAAACCAGCCACAAATAAAATAGAGTAGTAATTTTTAGTCATTTGTAACTAAATACAGGAATTTATGTACAATCAATGTCATGCTTCAGAGATACAAGGCCCAAAAATAATTGGTGAAGCATGAAAAAAAAGCAGGCGTCATGGTCATTGAATGTGTACAAGGGAAACTAATTTTTGTGATTTCTTATTTTAAATGTGGAGCTAAGCGCTTCAGTGGAGCTTCTGTAATTCATTTGTACTTGTGTTTGTGTGCCTTGTGTTGCCACACAATTGGTATTATTATAAAATCATGATTATCTTAAAATAACCATTGTAACAACCGATCTTTTGTTAGCTGCCTCAGCTGGAGCACACTGCTGTCTTTGTTGGATCCCAGCACGCATTACACAAGACGTCTGTGTATATGTGACACCAAAGACAAGCTGCTGACCTGGGAAGTGGAAGCGGTTGTCCCTGAAGCTCTGTGGTGACGGGTTGGGTGGGGGGGTGGCACTGACACTTGGGGGGTTACTCTGCTGGAAATGTGCTGGGGAGGAAGGTGTGGAGGAGGTGGCTGATGATGGGTTACTGCTGGAGTCCAGGTGGCTTAAACTGGGTGCAGGCTCCTGCAAACACACACACACACGCACACACGCACACACGCACACCCACACACACACTAAAGTCTGTGATTTCAATAGAAAGGACCGTCCACTGACAGCATATATTTCCTGGAAACTAACACTAACACAGTTCTGCACTTTTTCTCAACACCACCTTGACAATGATCACAGCTACAGCAAGCCAGATCATGATTCCATACTTATGTACTGTACTTACCCTTTTGGTTATTGCCTTTGGCAAAGTTCTAAACTGCGGTGGGATTTCTGCTGTGTGATCAATCCGATTATTGATATCTGACGGCACTGATTCAGCCCTGCGTATCACTGGCACTGCAATTCAGATTAAAACATGAGTTTACTTTATATCATAATCAATATTAAATTGCAGGTACACAATTCATAAAGTCAGTCCTAAGCTAGAGACAGGTGCCCACATGTACAAAAACAAGTTCTGCTTGCTGCAATCATCCCTCCTGAAAACATACGACCCATTACAACATCTTTCATAGTGTGCTTACAGTGGCAGTGACGGGGAGGAAACATGCATTTTAAAGCTGGCTAGAGGTGACTTCCTAAATGCACTCAGCCTGTTATGACCTGAAAAAGCCCATACAATACTACTGTAGAGCATGAAAAGAAAAAAGTGCTCACGTACTTCTCTGATAACTTAGAGTGGTGCTTGAAGTTATGTGAACTCTTTAGAGCCTTAGTTTGTATTTTAACATAAATATGACCTAAAACAGAAAGTGTATAAAGAGAACCCATTTACCTTTATGAGACAACAATATCATACTTGTTTACTCATTTAATAAGGAAGAGAGTGTTAGATATCCACACCTCTGGGTTTAAATTGAAATGAAATGAGTCAGCTGTTTTTAATCAATGGGATGACAGTCATGGAAAGAACAAAAGAATGTTCTGAAGACCTCAGAAAAAGGTTTTGATGTTATCACGATGGAAAAGGTTCCAAAACGTTGGGTTACTTAACGTAATCCCTGTTCTTTGATAACAGAGTGAGGTGTTTCACTATGTGACAGACCGGTTGAGCGGTGCTCTAGGCTACGCCTCCTCCTATTGCTACGGCCAACTGATCACTCCTCACTCATTCTGGACAGATTTCTTTCTGTGTCCATGCAAGGAGGGATGTGCTGGTGAAACACCTTACTCTGTTATCACAGAACCAGGGATTACGTTAAGTAACACAACGTTCTTTTTCTAACTTCGCTCTGTGTTTCACTATGGGAGACATAGCCAACTCCTGGATTGCATAAGCAAGCAGGGGACGGGGTTTGGCTTCCGCGGCAGACAGAGGTTGAAGAGGTTGTGCTCGTCTCTCTCATTTTCTCCAAGGCTGGACCAAACAGACCTTTGGTTGGGTCATAAGTCGCATCCATGACTTCTGCCTGACAGGTTTAACCACAATATTGGGCCTCTTTCCTCAATAAATAAATAACCTCAAATTATACTTTTATCTCTTTTGTTTAACTGGGTTCTCTTTATCTACTAAAAAACAGATTCTAAAAAAAGTTGGCAACATTTAAAAAAGAAAACATTGAATGAAACAATGATGCTGAATGCTGCTTACAAGTGAGAAATGATATCCGACATGAGGGCGCATCTTTGGTGCATTTGTTGTGACATTTCAACCTGTGAACACATAGAAGGGACACATGCTCATGAGACCTATAATCACATAGGGTGGGGGAGCTTATTTGCACAGTTCTTACTTGCAGTGTTTACACTTGACACCAAACATCATGCTCTTGCTGCACACTTGACATGTCTGGGAGAGCCAGGACTTGGTTGAAAACCTACAAAAGACAGAAGAAGAAGAAGAAGGAACAATATTTCCTTTTTATTATGAACTTGAACATCTGATGACAGTAAGCCTGAGGACTAAAGTTAGCAAGTAAAACAGACCAGAGCTCTGAGGGAAAGTTTTATTTTCCTACCTTTCTGTCTGATGTGTAAATTTTATTATTTTATTTTTATTTTTTTTTTAATTTATTTATTTATTTATTTTTATTTAGAAATGTTGTATGTACAATCACTGGCATTTCCTCTTTTTTTAAATATATACATATATAAATTCGAACACACAATGAACTTAACTGCCCACCCATCCCACCCTCCAAAAACAAAAAAAACATTTAGGACACTCACCTAGACTAGCAGAGATAGGAAATACTAAAGGCTGCAGATCAAACAAACATAAAATCCATGAAAGTGGAAAAGTAAGTACAGAATAATAGAAGAAAAATAAGTACATAATGTTACACCCAGATTTATTATTGAGCAGGCATACTGTGCTTGCACGAAGAGAAAAAATAATAATAAATAAGTAAATCATAATAAATAAATACAATGAAAAACATGCCCAAGTTGCTGCTAGGTTATATCAGGCAGAACTTTAAGTTCATCCAAATATGTCAACATCTGGTCCCAGATGGAGAGGAACTTATCCCTAGAACCTCTGAGTGAGTATTTTATCTTTTCCAACTGAATAAACTGCATGACATCACTAAGTATTCTTTTCATGCATGCAATGTTGTAAAAGCGATTATTTTCATGACCTCTTGGTGTTGTATATTGTCTTCTCTCTATAACATCAAATATGGCAGCTGCTGCACTGGGTTGCAAATCAATAGTAAGTGCTTTTGAAAGCATTTCAAAGATAACAGTTCAGTAGAGAGCCAAAACAGGGCAGGACCAAAACATATGTGTTAAGTTGGCTGAGGCATTATGACATCTGTCACAACTTGCAGTTATGCTCAGATATATTTTAGACAACCTAGCCTTGGAAAAGTGAGCTCGATGCACAACCTTGAACTGTATTATGCTAAGCTTTGCACAGGAGGCACTACCGTTTACTCCTATTTGATTTATACAATGGTCTTGTTTTTAAAAGAAATTATACAGTCAATAATCCTTGAAATGAGTCTTTTTGTGTTAAAAGAAATATTTCACATATCATCTAAACCTGGAAGTGAGGGTAAACCCGTAAAATTAGGGTCACTATGCTGAAGGAAGTGGCAGACTTGGAAATACCAAAATAAGTTGGATCGTGGATGATGTGTAACTTTAACCCTAAATTTTATGAATATTGTATTGAATGTAGAATTAATTGTTGATGATGATACTGAAAGTGTAAAGTCACCCCTTCAGGTTACGACTGCCATGGTGTTGGGTTTATTAAGGTTTGGTTATTCTTTGTGGTGTGTCCTGTAACTATTACTTTCCAGACGGCTGTACAACAAAGTAAGTTTGACATAGCCAGGCTTTATTTGTGTAAGTGAACTCGATAAAGATTAAAGCCCCAGGCAGAGATAAGAGGTATCACAAAGGTGGTTATCAACTTCCTGTGTTAACTCTGACTTGCTGTTTCCATCTCTGTGTGTGTTCACATAAATATTGGCGATTAAAGCCTCACGTGACTCTGCTTCAGTCAACAGGTCGTTTTAATGGAGAACAATGAGGAATATCAAAATTTGTGACAGTAAAAAGCGCTGCTACTGCAAATGGTGCAAGACAGGAATGATGATTAAAAAAAAACTGTTAAACATGCCTAATATATTTATTTTACTGAACAATGCAGGTGCTTATTTCTAACTGACAGCTGCACATTAGAGTCATTAAACTTTAAACTTCATTTGTGTACATCTGCTTTTATGGTTGGTTCTGATTTGCTCACAATTCAATATCATGTTTTAGTATATGAAGTTTAAAGTTGAACAGCTTTAATGTGCAGCTGTCAGTTAGAAATAAGCGGCTGCATTGATAAGTAAAATAAATATCTTATGCACATTTAACAGTTTACACTGCTGGTACTGCAGCTGAGAAGAAAACAGATTAGAAAACTGGTTATTCTACTGGTATTTATTGAAGAGAATATTCAGTCAGTAACATTGATTTCATTTTGATTTGGCCAGAATTTAAGTGACATCCTGTATTCAGGGACAGTGTCAGACCTACATGCACTTCAATACAATATCATGTTTAAATATATGAAGTTTAAAGTTTAACAGTGCCAGTGTCGGTAAATAAGCAGCTGCACTGAGCCGTAAAATAAATGTAATAACACACAATTACCAGTGTTCTACTGGCATTCTGGTCTTGTATCATTTGCAGTAGCAGTGCTTTTAACATCATACATTTTTATATTCTTCATTGTTCTACATTATAACAACCTGCTGACTGAAACAGAAAGTCTGAGTGAACAAAGGAAGCTGAAAATCACCTCTGTGATACCCTTGATCTCTGGCTGGAGTTTTCGTTTTTATCGAGTCCACTAACACAAAGACAGCCTGGCTACGTCAAACAGCCCTCAGGATCTCAAGCTGATTTTTGGTTATTTCTCTGCCTCCTTTTGAATTAAATACAACAATAATGTAATACAACCCAGAGTATAAAAAACAGCATCCTGATTGTTTTGCACAATGCAGCTTTGTCAGTCAGTCAAACACTGACGCAAGACTTAACAGTAAAACATTCAGTGATTACTAAGAAAAACAGTGGGTTACACTGGAAACTCTGCACTGTTTAGAATCCTGGATTCTCACAACATGCTTTCTTTCCAGATGACTGACTTCATAGTGGTTTAAATCAGAAGCTGAAGACTCCATATTTATAACAGAAAGCAGACAGAAAGAGTCCATAGCTGCATTGTGAAAAGTTCGGGATTCTGTTTTTTTAACTAAACACTAAAAACCAGAAAATTTGGGGTTCTGCTGCTTCAATTTTGACCATTCTACTTTTCAATTTGTCTTTTGTCTGAGCCATGTTCATGGAAGTAGACTGCTAAAACATATCTACAGTTTATATAGGCAACCCTGGGTGGATTATATTTTGGTTGTAAATGTAAGTCCTGTAGCAAACGGATAGTAAAATGATGATGTCAACAAACCATTACTTAATATTTCATCATCTTAAAAAATAGAAGAAAAAAGTAACTGTGCAACATGTAAATGTTTGATTAAAGTTTCACACTAAACACACACCAAGTTAAAGTGATGCAGCACTGCTCACAGAATGATATACAGTATCTGTTCGTGTTTACTATTCAAACGCATCACTGACCTGTGTGTTACAGCCAGGCCAATGTCTCTCCTCATTGTCTGTGGGGAACTCCTGTGCATGGCCACATCTGTGAGGAATATTAGAATGCAGCAAGACACAAAATGAGACATCAGCAAAATGAAACAGAATTACAGAAGTACCAAAGGACCATGAGAGTAGAAATGCAGCATCTGTAATGGGGACTCACTGTCCTGCAGGGTGGGTGAGACGTGCATCGTGTATGGTGCTGAGGTTGGGACAGGGCCCAGTGTCCTAGCAGACAGTGACCTCAGTGATGAGTCCTCAAGCTTGTTCCCACAGCCATTGATCTGAATAGGAGTCAACAATTTGTTCTTCTTACAGGCTCTGCAAAGACAGAGATCATCTGTTAATTAACAGATAACAGACTGTGTTAACAGAAAGAACTGCTTGATTAACAATTTTGTGATTTGTAAACTTTTGCCAGTTGTTAGGATAAAATGAACAAAATCTAATGATCAATGAACATTCAAAGCATCAGCTTTTTCTGTAAATTACATGGCAATCTGCCTGTTAAAGCAGGTAATAAAGATATGATTGCAAAATAAATTCTAATACCCACTTCTGTGTCGAGGGATCCTCGATTCGGTTTGCCAGCTGTGACTCATGACTCTTGCTTCTTGTCAGTGCAATGTTTGGGAGGAGATGCAGCAGTTTGCGGGAAGGTGGTGGTGTGTGGGAGGGCTTGGCAGTGAGTGTCTTTGAGGCTCGACTGGCAAGAGGGCTGCTTGGCTCGAGGGAGAAAGCATCAGTCATTTCCTCAGGTAATATGTTAGGTCTCTGGTCGTCTGTACATGGTACCACAGATATGGAGATGGAGCGACCGTGGGTGCTGGTGGGTTGTACAGGGATGGAACGGCTACGAAAACTGAAGGGTGGGCTACTGGGAGAGAAGGCATTGCTGTCCTGTTGGGGCCCAGAGCCGTAGGAGCCTGAGTCAGGAATCAGGTCATCTCCTAAAGTCAAAGAATAAAAGCTTACAAGCTAATTCTAAGACTCAATGGGCAAAAAGTCAGTGCAAGACAGTGGGAGTGAATTGCTAACAGATTTCCTGCAGTTTGTTAAAGCCTAGCTGCAGCATTTTTAATGGGCTGAGAGCAAGCTGTTGACTTTTGTCTATAAAGAGCATCACTGTCATCAAAATGATGGATTACCCTCCAGGAATTACTTATAGCTAAAAGAAACACTGTTTTACCAGGATCGAATGATGACTTGCTGATTATTAGTCTACAATTTCAAACAACATTATTTAATATGTGAATCAGGCAAAAGCAATGTCTACATTTTTAAAATAACTCTGCTAGTTAATGTCCATTAGGTGAATTACCCTGTTTTGCAAATCATTTGGCTAAATTAATGTGGATGATTTTTCATTTCCTTTTTTGTTTTTAAGTTGCAGTGCGTTAAGCTCTTAGGCCACTATATCCTAGTAGTCCCTCTTATACCAACCATATGCTCTCTGGTCCCAGGTTAGATTTTTCATTGCAATTTAATTTAGGAATATGCAACATGTAATCCATCCATCCATAATCTATACACCGCTTAATCCTCACTAGGGTCGCTGGGGGGCTGGATTCTATCCCAGCTGACTCAGAGTGAAGGCAGGAGACACCCTGGACAGGTAACCAGTCTATCACAGGGCTACACTTAGAGACAGACAACCAAGCACACTCACATTCACACCTACGGACAATTTAGAATCACCAATTAACCTCAACATGTTTTTGGACCTTGTGGGAGGAAGCCGGAGAACCCGGAGAGAACCCACGCTGCACGGGGAGAACATGCAAACTCCATGCAGAAAGATCCTGGGTGTCCTCACCGGGACGTAAACCGGCAACCTTCTTGCTATGAGGCAACACTGCTGACCACCGAGCCACCTTGCAGCCCCAACATGTAATCATAATGATAAAAATCTAAAAGGTTTTGCAAGCATTTTATGCCTGTTTCTTATTCTCAGTCTTGGAAATCATATTTGAACCCAACCCAACTTTTTCAGAATGAATCATTAAAGAACCAGCAGCCTAAAACCCTGAAATTACTGATGGAAGTTATTAAGTAAATCTACTTAAGTTGGGATTATTTTTCAGTTTCTTGAAAGGGCTACAAACCAACAATACAGGACCTACTGTCAAGTCACTGTAAGTTCACCTGTTTCATTGGCACTCTTCAGACAAGAGAGGGCAGCAGTGAGGCGAGAGTGATCCTCTGAGTTTGAGCTCAGACGTCTCATTGTGTTTTGGAGCTCAGAGCTGGACATCTGCAGCAACCCATCCACTGAGAGCTTCTCTGCTGTAGCCTGGAAGAGAAAACAAGGACACCTGTCACTGACTGCTTTCAGAACAAAACCAATCTGCAAATGGCAAGTCTGTTACTTCAAAAAATCAGGAGGATACACATGATATTGTGTATATACTATATATTTACATCACAACAACCCTAACTTTAACCCTAACCCTGAGACCCTGTGTACATCAGTACATGGTTAATCTAAAATTTTAAGTTTAAATCGTTTCCATCTGAAACACTGTGGCACATGTGGATACAGCATTGTATGTTTGTATCCTTTCATTTTTTTTTAAAAATTCTTTCTGGGTAACACAAGTCTTGTTGGCCTACAAAGACTGTTGTGCACTAAACTGGATGGATGCTAAGATAACGTAAATGAATTGAGATGAAAACCTTGCTGACACAATCTTCTGCGAACATTCCAGAAAAAAATGTTTCAGCTGATATTGAGCAGTAGCGTTACTGCTACACAGTTAGATAAAAATAGTCTTCATGCTGACTGGCAGAACACATGCTTTGGAACAGGTTTTGAAACAGGCATGTTTTGGTGGTTGTAGTCAGATAATCTTTTTGCTTAGGAAGGTTCTTAAGTTAGTGAAATGACCTGGGAGTGTCGAAATGAGAGCCATAATAAGCTGTCAACCTGGCTGAATTCTCTATATGCTAAGAAATGGTGCTTCATCTTTTGTGTCTCCTTTAGCATGGCATAGCTTGGACCATCGAAAGGGAAGGAAAGAGGATAATGTTATCACATAAGCTGTTCGGACAGGAACATTCATAGTGCAACACCATTTACAGCAGGCTCATGCCAACAACATCAACTGTTTTATGATTTCGTGGCCAAATTAATGTCAGTGCAGTCAGATTTTCGTGGCACCACAGAAGTATTTTCTCATGTCCTAATGAACTCTGCTTCACATCTTTATTGGACATCATTGCGTTTATTATTGAGGTCACAGGACAGTGTATAGGTTTGACATAGGACATCATTTTTTGGACTAATCATACACTACCCATGTTCACATTATATAAACATTTGTTAAAGCAGCCCTAAATTACTTGTAGTCACTTGTAGGCAACATAATAAGTGGTGAACAGAAAACATATTATTAAGTTGATCTGTCAAACAGTTACCTATTTACGTAGTCAGCCTAATTTCCATTAGGGGATTTTGTTGCCCTCACTTTTATAGTTTTAGGTTGATTGTGTTACTTAAAACAACCTAAATCGGATTATTGTGTTCTTGATGTCCAGCCACCACAGTCCAGATAGAAGGGAAAAAAGAGGTGATAATGCTGAAACAACAAAACACAACAGCTCCATTTGTTAAGCCATTGTCATGACATTGCTATCAAGGTCAACGGCAAAGGCACGTAGACACTGTACTAAAGTTTAACGTCTATTTTTCTCATCCGTATGTGTAGTTTTAGTTTCATTACTGTTCCAGAAAAGGAATTAAATTCGGCACCGTAGGTGAAAAAAGATGTTTCAACTATTTTAATTTGGTTGTAGGGCACCATGCAGTGGTGTGGTAGCACCCCTAAAAATAACACAGGAACATAGTTTAGGTTAAGACTAAGATGACCATACACCTATCAGTCATAATGTTAAAGCTACCTGCCTAACATTGTTAGTCTCTTTTGTGCTGCTAAGGTAGCTCTGACTCATCGGGGCATGTACTTGGGATCTCTTGGGGTGTCCTGTATTGTTCTGGACTGGGATGTGGGCAGCAGATCCGTTCAGTCCTGTGGTGTTCCAGGCTGGTTCATTTATCTGGCCAGTTCAAGCACATTTGGCAAATGTTGATCAGACTGTGATCTGGGGAGTTAGGAGGCTGGGCAAACCCCTTGGGCTCTTTGCCGTGGTTCTCAAGTTGTTCCTACACAGATTTTGTGGTGTAGTGGGGCAAACTGTCTTGCTGGGGGAGGGCTGCTGCCATCTGTAAACATTGTTGCCATGGGGATGTGTGCATGTAACAATGTTTAGGTTTGGGGTAAGTGCCAAAGTAACATCTTCGTGAATGCCAGGACCCAAGACCTAAGGCTTCCCAGCAGAACACTGCATTGTTACCAGATGATCAATCTAATTCATTTCCCCAGTCAGTGGTTTCAATGCTTGCTGATTGTATGGTTTTGTAGATTCTCAGTCATCCAAGTCATGTTAATCCAAAGTGCTTTGAGACAACCAGACCACTGTTTTGGTTCATGAAACCAAGATGTTCCACCTGTCATCCTTTTTCTGAGTTTTAACTGACTGGCAGGGAGGCCTGGGTAATTATTTAACCTATGGGTCATTGTTAACCATCCATCCATTATCTATACACCGCTAATCATAATAATAATAATTGATCAGATTTATACAGCGCTTTTCTAGACACTCAAAGACACTTTACACTGTCAATTATTCATTCACACACATTCATTCCGGTGGCGCTGGCTACGATTCTAGCCACAGCTGCCCTGGGGCAGAATGACAGAGGCATGGCTGCCATTCTGCGCCTACGGCCCCTCTGACCACCACCTCAAACAATCCATTCATATGCATTCACACCAGGCAAGGCCTTAGATTGCTCAACGCTTATCAACAACCCAAAACAGAGATGAATTGGTAATACAGCTGAAACATGGTGTCACAGACCTCCTCAGTTTAGAGACGGCTGTTCCAGCTGAACATAGATGGCTGCTTCCGCTCCTTTCTGAAACCATCTGTCCGGACCAGAATGTGTACGCTAATGTCCTTTATTCTTTGGATAGAGATGGACTGCTGAGTCATGTCCTGATGATCTGGTTTGCCTCTACATATGCAACACTTTCCAGCTTGTGTTTGGATGTTTAAACATGGGGGCAAACCAGTTTTTGTCTAAGATTGATACTGGGTCTAAAATGTAGGACGCTGTGCCAAACTATCATCCTGAGCTGTAATGATGTCACTACTGGTAACCTTTCAGCTATGCTAATCTGTGACCCTATCATTTTTTACTGTACGACACTTCTTAGATGTCTGCTCATGTCATTTGTCAGCCCTGTTCCAGGCTGGTGCTACATTATTGAGCAGTTATCATTCTGAAGCATTTTGTCTGGCCCATTAAGCGTTACTACTCTTAGTTGTTTTCAATGCCAAGCTTCAGTCTATGTTTTCATTAAGTGCCATATAAGAATGTCAATATTTAGGGGCACAGCTAAAGATTTAAATGTAGTGAAATTTCAGACAATTTATTTGTAGGCAGCGGGACAAGTTTTGCAGCTTATGCAATTGCAGAAGGAAAGGTTGCTGTCAGAAGACTGATTTACATTTTATTCAATGTTTCAAAAAAACACACCAGGCTATCAGGAAGGAACAGTGGGCTCATTATAAGCAAAAACAGAAAAAGACCACTGATACAAGAACAAGTATTATTATTATTATTGTTGTTGTTGTTGTTGTTGTTGTTAATAATAACATTACTATTATAAATCTGAAGGGAAAAAAAGCCAATTTAAAAGTCCACAGTTAGTTTTTTCCTGTATTGCTGTAAAATGCTAGACCTAATGCCTGATTCCTGGAATCTGCTGGCAAACTATGAAAACAAGGTCTGCTGTGTTTTTTCGGCCCTTGGTGGGAGTGTGTTTAATGAAGAGAATGGGGGAAAAGGATTGGCTTAATCTCCTGGCAACTAGCTGTTTCCTGCATTGTGTCTGTGGTAAGTGAAATGGACAGGCTGGGATAACAACACGCTCAGTATTTTTATGTGAGGTATCTGAGAGACAAAGCTGACCTGAAAAACAAACTTCTTTCTTCTTCTTCTTCTTCATACAATCCCTCAGTCAAACTCAAACTAATATAAGGATTCAGCAGTTAAATAAACAAAGTGGCCATTTTCTATTGTTCCAGACTACTTCATGTAAAATCAGTGAGACTAAGTGTCTTTGCTAAGCCACAGCAGAGGGACATGCCCTAGAACTGATTTGTAGATGTTTTGCTGGGACAATATGACTGCCTGGATGACCACTGCTAGACATGACTTGACAAATAGGTTCAGACTACACAACATTTTTATCTGACCGATGGTCACTGGGTCAGACTAGGTGATTAGAGTTATAAATTCTTGATGGATCTGGCCTTTAGACATAGCTATCCTTTAAGACCTGCAATATGTAATCAGAAGAGAAGTGCCAGGGGCCAATGTCAGGACACAAAAATGTACAACAGTGTCCACAATGGTGTATGTATGTGATTCTGGTGCCTTTAAAAGAGCAGTCTGTTTTCCTTTGATCATGTCAAAGACATGTTGTGGAAGCTATCCGAATAGATGAGAAAAAAGAAATTCTGACAGGCTAGTCTTTCGTTTTCAGGACACGGTGAGGTATCCAAGATGTAGCACTGGCTGTCATTCACTATGACAAAGTACACAGGATCTCTCTGGAAATTTCGTGGTTTATTGCCTTGTGCAATAGACATGTACACAATACAGTACGCATTCAGTTTTAACATAGATTCCTATGTTAATCATCAGTAACTATCAGTAACTGCGACTAATACTTGGCCAAAAAACTTTTTTATTCTCTACTGGTACAAATGGCTTGCAATATAAAGCAATCTTTGACCAAACATTCACACAGTACTGTGGGGAGACACAATATACAGGAAATGTAACTGGGCAATAAAGTGATTATATACAACTTAAATGTTGTTTAGTGACCTGTTACAATTTTCTTAAAGGAAAAAGTCTGTACCCATCACTTAGTAACATGTTACTGTATTTTTGACATAAATAAAGAGAGAAAAGCCATTTAGTTAAGTGTCAGTTCCTATATTTCCTCATGTCCTCATGGAACAGGAGTTAGTGATCTGCTCAGAATTCTTTAACGTGTACAAACTAATTTATTCAGCAAACCAACTAGGTACATCTGAAGAAGTGAAGCTTGTGCAAATTTGTCCAAATACAGAGACGTGATGTTGTAAAAGAGAGACTTTAAAAATAACTAAATAGCTCTTTTATCAGTACTAACAATCTGCTGAGTGTTTAAAGGT